CTTAGTGACACCTTCAGTAAAATCACCTTCAAGTTCAATTTTAAACAATATTAACTCCAAAAATTCAGATCATCTACCAGGAATGTGCAATCTAAAAGCAACTTTTTTGTCATTAGCAATAATTATTCTGAGTGTACTACAAATTTTAACCTGGAAAACATACTGTAATTAGATTCATATTTCTGTAAAGTATTATTTTCGCATATTTCACTTCTTTAATAACAATTTTTAAAACAATGTTAAAGCTTTTATTCATAAATTTCTTTTTTAGTAATATCTACATCTTAAAACTTCAATAGTGATTTTTTGTTTTAAAAAAAAAGAGCTGTGACTCCATTATCTCCAAGTTTCCAATTCAATCGGGCCGGCCAAACCTGTAACCCAATCCAAAACTTTGAAAATCTCATTTCTTTTTTACTTACGATCCATTATACGCAACATGATGCTAATGTTATGAGTGTTATGAATAAACATTTTTACGTGACATTCAATACAAAATGGCGCAAAAATATGTAAAATAAAATATTGCTTGCTCTTGGTTAGTTATAAACTTACAACTGTTACTCCTGAACACCACGTAGAGGTGGCAAGCTTCGTTCAGGGAAAAAAAGAAACCACTTACCTTTAATCTTATACAACCAGTTTATAATTAATAGGATTTGAAAAAAAAATAATATTTGGGTTATTAAGAACAAAAATTGAGCAGAGACGTTCGGACATATAGATATATAATATAATAACTTTCACAACTTGACAAATTCTATATGTAAACTGTGTTTTTTTAGTTATGTTCTGGCCCCAGATACTACTACTTATGCACATATGCATTAAAAACAAGAAAGAAAATTATAAAAGAAAATTATTTACGTAAAAATCAAAACAAATAAAACAAATAATGCACATGTGCATCAGAACAAGAAAGAAAATTATTTTTGTAAAACCAAAAATAAGCTTTCTCATTCCCCCATCTAATTATTTGGTTTACATATATACACAATACGTACTATGTACATACATACATAAAATACGTACGTATATATATGTAATGTGGGAAAGTCGATCGAGCAATAAACACAGGTTTCTCTACTCAACTTTATTAAAAAATTTGTTTATGTATGGCTTTAACTTTTTATAAAGTTTTTAGCGTGGAGTTGGTCGTACCTACGTTTTAAAATGAGGTGTGGAGTTGGTTGTACCTTACCTATTACCATACTTAACAAGAAAAAAAAAAAATAAAAGAAAAAGAAAGGTGAGAAGGAATAAGAAAGAAGAGAGGAGTTAAAGAGATTAAGAGAAAAAAGTTGCTATTTTATATATTTTAATCATGTATCACTTAACCATGATGAGTCATATTATAAACATGTGAACTCCGTAGTATATAAAATAGAACGTAATCTTGTATATGACGTCAAATTTTATATACTATTTCAGTATTTTACTGTATTTACTGTGGGCGTTATATCATTACATCATTACATCATTAACTACGATTTCATATTCATTAAAGCAATTTATTTCTTTTGGAAGCATACGAACGGTGTACTACTTTACTCATAGCGAAAAAACGTCCGAAAAGGGGAAGTAAGAAGTCCCAAAGAAAATAGCAAAGTCCTAAAGAAAAGAGAGAACTCAGACCATAACAATATGATTCGATACACCAATATATATATATATTTATTTAGTTGGAGAAAACATACAGTTAGACCGGGCTTATATTACATTTAAAAGCATAACGCGGAATAAATGCTTTATCAATCTGGCTATTGAGCAGGCAATATTCTATGTAGGGAAATAAAAAGCGGCCAAAAAAGATCAGGTCCTATAAAATAGGAAAGAAACGTTAAAGTAGCGTTTTTTTGACTGATTTTCAAAAAAAAAATATTTTTGAAAACATTCCTGAGTGTAGGTATATGATTAATATTGTATTCAAATTACTTCAATTTATTTGTCAAAAAATTTGATAATCAATTTCCTTAGTATCTATAATATTGATAGCTCAAACTTTCAATAAACTAGTATGTAAACTTAGCTTAATTTATAGTGACCCAATTGACCATGCGATCACGAGTCTATAGAAATATTAATATTACGTGAATCTAATAATATGAAAAAAAAATCTTAAAAGACACAGTATCAAGGAACCCAATTTTAACAGACGATTACCTCGTTTTCTTGCTTTTACATAGTTCATATTCGAACTCCACATTTCGCGTACGTCGCATCAAATGCGCATCATGCTACTCTTCCTTTGCAATTTTTTCAGTGTCGTACACAAACATGTCTGGAAGATTTCTTGTGACCTCTTCAAATAATGGAAAGTCATTAATAACATTAACAAAAGATCGTTTAAAGATCACAAATGTCCGACAAAGTCCATAACAGACACACAAATGATTTCCTTTCATATCTGATATATTATTATTTGCCGCATAATACACCATCATATCCTTTATCTCACCTAGAGGTTGGAACCGACCAAAAAAACCTTAATCGATTAATAATCGATTAATATTAAAATATTAAAAAATTTTTTTTTTTGACCGCAGATTGCACCAAATTGTTTTTGATCATACATTTAGTTATAGGAAAGTCTTATTTATTATTATTATCATTAAAAAATTAATACAAATTCTTCCAAGTTCAGAGAACACGTGACCAAAAATTCACAGCTCTGGGCCGCATTAGATAATTTGACCAGAATTATGGGTTGATAATTTTAATCGATTAACCAATTTTTGAGATACCTTAATCGATTAACCGTCTTAGTCGATTAATTAATCGATTAACCTTAATCGATTCCAAACTCTAATCTCACCTTTGATTCGTTGGGAATCTAATAATTTTTTACATAATATTCCTTGGCTACGATTTATTGATTTTGATTCATCTTATACCCGTTAGTTTTTTTCGTCATCATCTGATTTATAGCTATGATCTCGTTCATTAGTTGTAGTTCACCTCTTTTTTTTCTATTATCAGAGGGTGGGTTTGTCAATATGGTGAATGACTGTTTAAAAGAATAGATTTTGTTATGTTTTAGTTTTGGCATATGTATTACTATTCTTTGTAACGAAATAAAAAAAAAAGGTAAACACCAACAATTTTCTGGCATTATGATGATGGATAATATTTGACCAGTCAACAGTCGAACTAACAGAATTATTATCTTTATTAAATTTAACAGCTTAGTTATGGGCAGTTTAATAATATTAAGTAATTCCACTATGGTATCCGATCAAAATCTCGACAGTCACTTGCACGACTAACACAAGATCGACAACAAAATCTCGACAATCCAAAATCTCGGCAATCCAAAATCCCGACAAGTCATTATATCGACAATTTTGTGATGTGTGTTCTAATAAAATAATTTCTGCAATATGTAATATTTAGTTTAAGTGTGTTATAATTTTGTCGGGATTTTGACTTGTCAGGATTTTGACTTGTCAAGATATTGAATTGTCGAGATTTTGTTGTCGGTCTTGTATCAGTCGCTCAAATGATTTTCGAGATTTCGTACCAAAACCATTCACTATATACAGCAGTTATTAATAAAAAAAATATAATGATGATCTACGCTTGATCTACACTTTTGATACCTAGTGAAATTATTAATTTTGGGGCGCAGTATTATATTTAATAAAAAATTTGTTTTAAATTTACTGCGGTCCGTAAAGGCCTTAAACTATTAACCAATGGGATTAATAAGGAATTATAGTATGACCACTTTGAGGGACATCTTACTACAATCCAACCTACTTCTCAAGGATATACAGATAATAATAACGCCTATAATGCTGCTTCAAATTCAGTAAATGGAACTATTTCTGATAATATTCAGGATACAGAATTTCAGAATACTTACTAAGGAAATTCGATTCATTTATTTTATGGTGAAATAAAATTCGACTATTAACTAAGTTAAGTTGCTAATAAGCTAATATTCTTTTAAGAAATTTTTTACTTATTCCAAAAATGAATCAAATGTTAGGGCTATGATTTTATTTATTTATTTATTATTTACATATATTTTGTGTTGATATTTATTTAAACCTTGTTTTTTTTAATAAAAAAATTTACGTATTGCTTGCAAAATATACGAAGTATACGTGAAATTATGGTACTAATGACGCTCAACATAAGAATGTAAATATTCAGGATTTTCCCGCGAAATATCACGTGAATTTCATCACCGGCTCCGTAAATTTTTTTAGTAGCAAAATCCTACTCGTCACGCACTATCTATCCGCACTTAATTTTAGTCACATTTTTTTTCATGTCACGCTTGGGACGTATGATTTTTTATTATACAGTACCAAAACAATTTAAATTTCTTTGATTTTATTTAAAAATTGAAAAAAGCATGTAGATTTGCACTTGTATTACTATCACGTCTTAATCTAATTTAAGTTTATTATTATTATAAATGAAAATGCTAAATTTTTTAGAATTTATTCCATTAAGCGTTAAAAATAAATATTAATAATTTGTTTAGAATTATTGATTAATTGATTATGTTATTTTTTCTTAACATAAATTAAGTTGTTATTGCCACTTTTTTTTCATGTTTTTTTTTCAATAAATAATGGTTGACGAAAATAATGTTTATAAACTCGTATTCCGCCAATTGGACTTCTGGAAATATGTTTCATTTACCTGCAATTTATGTCAACATTATAATCATTTAGTGCCAATTTTATCGAAAAAAATTGTAACTTCTAGGCTTATTCCGTTTAAAAAAAAGAAAATCAAAGAACAGTCTATTTTTTGGCAGAATAAAATTGAATTATAAACTTATATTCGTACGTACTATTTTTTATAATTAAAATTTTAACGCGCGTAATTCATTTTTAACACCACAAACGACATTAAGGTTAGTAAATTACGGAAATTAAAATTATCAAATGTAGATCAATTTTTATTATTGACCGAGGCAATCAAAATAATAAGAGATTACAATGTTAAAAGTAAATAAATAAAATAAATACTACTTCCTACTTGTAATACCAAAATATATATACTGCTATATCAAACTTATTTTACTAATAAAACGAAAACACAAAGATATAATTATTATTTATCCTTTTGTATAACTCTTAATATTTTTTTTGTTTTCATCTAAATCCTTTCTCAATCTCTTGTTCGATTTAATCAAAGATTCATTTCTCTCTTCTTCATCTCGTAATTTCCTTTTTAGAATTTTATTTGAATTCTCCAATTCATTATATTCCAATTTTGTTTTATCCAATTCCCCTTTAATCTCTTCAAGTTTCTTTTCCAAAGATTTAACATAATTACAAGTATCATTATCAATATCTTGTATTCTTTCATTACTTTGTTGTACTTGATCAACTTTTTTATCAACCAAAATAGGTGTAGATGAAATTTCATAATTTCGATTAGATTTGCTAGAATTAAATATTTGAGTAAGAGTAGTTTGCGTCGGTAAAGGTCGTAATGGTGTGGTATGAGTATTATTTTCTTTACGTAATTGAGGAAGTGTTTGCGTTGATAAATGTTGGGATGATGTAATTTCTGTATTAGAATAATTATCTTCTTTTGATTTTTTAGAAAAAGGATTATTTAAAGATCTTTTTCTTTTCGAATATTTAAGTGGAGTTTTAATAATTCTTGGTTCCTCCCAACAAAAGAAATTACATCTATCATCATGCATGGATGTTCCAAATTTACTACAACTATAAAATAATCTTCCCATATTTCTTCCAGATTTTACTTGTTTTCTAATACTCATAATTCTACAATCACAATATTTATTAATTAATGGTGGTGGTGGAGGATTTGGGTAAACAATATTTGGAAATGGAATATTCGGGTCTTCCCTATGATTATAATAATGAATATAATATGACTTATTACTTCTTCCCGATGACATATTGAAATTTAAATAAATATATATATAGACTTTTTTAAAAAAGTATTTGTTCAAAATATTTTGAAAAAAAAAAAAAATTTAGTTGTAAATAGGAAGAAGTAAAAAAAAATAATTCTGGAGTCCGAGTTTGTTGACCGTATGTAAACAGATCGACATCACGCCGATCATTACTTAATTTATCCTTTTTTGCGTTTTGTTTATATATTACGAAAGATATACGTCGTTCTCACTTTTTTGCATATGTAATACTCTAATAAATATAGTTTTCGCTAGAAAAGGAATTTATATTTTCGTATAAAATATAATACCGAAAAATTTAAAAATTTATGATTTACAATATATTGGCATAATGTTTGGTAAATTACCATCATTTTGATGAAATTAATGATTTCGATGATTTCGATAAACAAAATTAATGTTGTGCCCCAAGTTGACGATTGCCCCAAATCAACGATCGGCCTAAATTATCGGCCCATCTTTATAATGCCTTAAGAATTTTCAAAGCATTACCTTTCACATATAGTAATCATCGATGATTATCGTCAATTTGGGGCATATTGAGATTTGGGGCACAACATTAACAAACGATAAACATGAATAATTAATTTTTTTGTTATTTTAGTTGATTAAAACTAGTTGAATTTTTACTTGACTCGATATATCTCTTAAATAAAGTTATTTCGTGTTATACGATTATTTTATATTATCGTTCTCCTTATTTATAGTGTATTGAAGAAAGAAGTGTTATATCTTTTTGTGTGTATTTAACTTAAATATACTGTATTTGTCAGGAATAACTTCTGAATCTGTATGAATGAAACCTTTTCGAGAAGGTTGCAAACATGATACTTCTAATTGATGATATTGTAAAATTTAAATATACAATATTATTTACCAAATTAATTATATATTAAACTTAAGGATATCTTCTTGAATAAATTATTAATTTTGTAAATATATATATTAATATTTGATTTAGTAGAATTTTTCACAAATAACACACTTTATCTGGTGTTTTTGGCTGCAATTTTAATATGTACGTGATGATCAACAGGCTGGAATGATAATAAACTTTTATCGAAATTTACTTGAAATTTTAAATGACAATGAATATTATGATAGAAAAATATGAAGGTTGTACTATTATAATTTGGTCCATCATTTATCTATAACCAGAAATGTTGGTGAATGTCGTTTACAGTTTATTATTTTTTATATTTAAAAAGTTTCAAACACGAAAATAATTGGAGAATTGGTGAAAATGTGTTATTTTATCATGCTGGTTATATTAACTAGTGTAATGAAAAAATTAACACATAACCAGAATTTTTTTTATTTCCAAGCAAACCCACTTTAGTTGTTAGAGGATCTTAATTATATAAATTCAATTATCTCTTGAAGAACAATAAATAATTTTTTATATTTTTATGAGCGAATTTTCGTGACGTTCTCTATATTTTGTAATTAACAAATTACGAATATCAAATAATGTTTTGCAATTTTCTGTAAATTAATTTATTACTCGACGTCACAAGTTGTTTTAAATGAACCATATACCGTATTTTGCGGTATATAACCTTTTTTGCATTTAATACCGTATAATTCTGGCCAAAATCTCCATAATTCTGGCCGGGGTGCTTATTTTCGGGGTGCTTACTAACCGTAAAATGGGATTCCTTAATACACAGTGGGGAGGTTCCTTAACGTACAGTGAGGGTGTACAATATTAACGTACAAACTGGCCCGAGTTTAGGAGTCATGCCCTTGCACGTGATAGCGTTAACGTTAACTTTGGCCAGTTCGTACATTAATAATGTACACCACCACTACTGTACATTAAGGAATCCACACAGTGTGGTGTATGATATTAATGTACGAACTGGCCGGAGTTAACGTTAACGCTATCACATAAACTCGGGCCAGTTTGTACGTTAATATTGTACACCCCTACTATACTAAGGAGTAAGGACGCCCACCGCAAAATACGGTAATGAGAATTTATCCGATCGTGTTCGTAAGTGCAATCAATCACCTAATTCCTGGACGTATCCTTTTATGTCTCAAACATTAATGTGTGTAAAAAAGAATGATTTATAACGTAATATTCTAATGCGCAGCCCAAAAAATGCTAGCAAAGCTCTAAAAATGGTTAATACTAAATTTGATTGCCGAGCTAAACGACTAATTTCAATTTTGTCACACAAGTAACACAAAATACATGTATCCAGCAATTCCAGCATCACATGAGATCAACAAGCTACAGCACCAATTATATAAAGTCAATCGTACAACAAGATTATAGTTAACTTCTTTCTCTTCTTTTAATTTATAAATCATGGATGACAATAAATTTTTGCCGAAATTATCTCAAAATTTACTTGAAATTTTAAATGATAATGAATATTATGATATTACTATTGAAGTTGGTAATGATCCTTATATAAAGATATTTCATGCTCATATGGTTATTTTACATTATCGTTCTACTTATTTACGAAGAGTTTTGACAACCAATAAAAAAAATAATGATGAAAATTTGGTACATATAAAGTTACCAAATATTTTACCTGAAATTTTTGAAATAGTATTAAGGTAAGAAAATTAAGAATTAAAATATATGATTATATAATAAAATATTAAATTAACGTTTTTTATTTTAAGATATATTTATGGTGGAAAAATTTCCTTAAATGAATATGATGCTTCAGATATAATTAAGATATTGGTCACTGGAGATGAACTTGGGCTTCAAGAATTAATCACTTATATACAATCTTTTTTGGTTAAAACTAAAGCAAATTGGATGGCACAAAATTTTAATTTGATATATCAAACGAGTTTTAAGAACGATTCTTTCTTGGAACTTCAAAAATTTTGTACTAATTTAATAACTAAAAAGCCAGATAATATATTCAATTCTCTAAATTTTTCTTCGATTCCGGAAAAACTTTTGGTCTCACTTATTCAAAGTGATAATCTTCAAATGAGCGAAATTCAAGTATGGGAATATGTGCTTAAATGGGGACTTACTCAAAATCCAGAACTTCCTTCTGATATTACAAATTTTTCAAAAGAAGATTTCAAAACTTTAAAAAATAATATTCGCCAATGTATTCCATTTATTAAATTTCATAATTTAACTTCTAAAGAATTTTCTGACAAAGTATTACCTTACAGAAAAGTTTTACCAAAGGAATTATTATATGAAGATTTATTAAAATATTTTTTGAATCTTGATAATCAACCAATTAAAGATTCAAAACCTTGTACGACTACTAAAGAAATTAATATTGATTCCGAAATCATTACAATTCAACATTCTGAATTAATCTCAAAATGGATTGATAAATTAGAAATTACGGATGAGATAAAAAATGCGTACAAATTTAAATTATTACTTCGTGGATCTCGGGATGGATTTACACCTGAAAAATTTCATGAAATCTGTGATAATCAATCTCATACCATAACAATTATTAAAGTGAAAGATAGTAATGAAATTCTTGGAGGATATAATCCAATTGCATGGGAACTTGATGAATCTAATGAATCTGAAGGTGTAACTTACAGCACTAAAGATAGTTTTATATTCTCTTTTAAGAATAATGATAATATTGAAAATAATATTTTAAGTCGCGTAAAAAATGAAAGTTGTGCTATATTATACTATTATAATTTTGGTCCATCATTTGGTATTAATGATCTTTTTATAGCTGAAATGATTGGTAAATCTTCGAATACTGCTTATGAGAAGCGAATCAGAGGAACTAGTGATAATTTTTTTGTGGAAGAATATGAAGTATTTCAAGCTATAAGATAATATTGTTTACAGTTTATTATTATTTTTTTTTTATTTATTTCTTTTATATTTTATTTCTATTTAAAAAGTTTCAAATACGAAGATAATTGGAGAAATTGGTGGAAATGTGTTATTTTATCATGCTGCTTGTATTAACTAGCGTAATGAAAAAATTAACACATAAACAAAAATTTTTTTTTATTTCTAAACAAACTCACTTTAGTTATTAGAGGACCTTAATATAATATTCAATTATCTCCTCTCCTGATGATCAATGAATAATTTTTTATTTATGAGCAAATTTTCGGGACGCTCTTTTTTAATTTGTATTAACAGATTACGAATATTAAATAATGTTTTGACAATTTTCTGTAAATTAATTTATTACTCGACGTCACTTCAAGTTATTTTAAATGACTGTATAATGTGAATTTATCCAATCGTGTTCGTAAGTACAGTCAATCAATCATCTAATTCCTGGACGTATCCTTTTATGTGGGTTTCTAACTTTTCTTTAAATATGAATAATATAAGATTAAATTGTCTTTGAAAAATTAGTTGATGCAACATTTATAAAATTATTGTTAATATTATACTGTTAGGTGACAAAAGTGATAAAAATAATTTATATGTCCTGTCGAATTATATTCCAAAAATTATTTTTTTATATAATTCAATTTAATTGACTAACAAAAATGGCTCACGTTTAATATCATATGGTTAGCCGCAGGATATTTACAAACTTCATATTGTAAAGACAAAAAGTTTGTGTTAATTGCCACGCAGTTTAATTCTATTTAGTGCTTAGTATTAATAATTGATCTTTGCTAATTAAAGTCCAGTTTATTGATTACTCAAACATTAATATGTGTAAAAAAGAATGATTTATAACGTAAATATTCATATAAAAGTTCTATAATATTATTAATGCGCAGCCTAAAAAATGGGAGGTAGACGGTAGTAAAGCTCTAAAATGTTTAATACTTGTTATACCTTACGGTGTCCAATCATGTGAATTTGGGTCCGGAACATCGGACTGTGCGGTCCAGTGATTCGCTTAAAATTACTTGGGTCCGATTGATTATAAAGTTTGATCTACGCGATTTTTTTTTTGCTATTCGATTTATATATAATGAGAGTTATCGTTCACATTAATATATCTAAATGCGGAAGTACGTACGGTATGAGAATTTAAGCTTATTTTAGAAATATGGTATAATTCGACATTTTTTTGTCAAGTTGAAACATATCTAATATAATATATCACACATGCATGTCTATATTCTATATCTGGTTAGAGTGAACGAATCGTTCGTTTGATTCTAACCTAATTTAAAAAGAAAACGTGACTATGCGTCTTATGTATATTCTATATTTGGCATAGACCGATATTTTTATTAGGTATAACAATAACATATGATTGATATAATAAAGTGGAGTAAAAAAATATGGCGTAAATGAATATTTTGTAGGAAAAGTTTAAATAAAGCTTATAAAGTGGAATAGTGGATTAAAAAAAGCATAAAAATGAAAGTTAAATAAAACTTATTTATGATGTTATTAATTAATGCATGATCACTTATTGGATGTGGGGCTATATCGGTCCTGTGAATAACTATTATTAAAAAAATAAATAATTTTTTTACTAATTTAATATTTAATGAGATAATGGTTTTAATAAGCTAATGCAAAATGTATTCGTAAATATAGATAAATATAGTATAAATTTCTAAATAACCTCTTGTTTCAATAAAATTAAGATACACTGTGTATAAGCACTGCTACTTTTAATTTTTGTTATGAATTTTTAATCATTTATCATATAAAAAAAATATTTATTTAAATCTATAACTAATAATTATTAAAAATATAAGAAAAACGAGAGTTCATGTTTAAAGGGGAGTTAGGACTTTAAAATGTAAAATATATGAAATATAATTTATTTTGAACTTGTTTTATGATAAAACATAATGTAAAATTTATGAAAGGAAATTTGATTCTTTCCCTTTTATATAATTGTTTTTTTTTAGTTTATAAATATTATTAATTTATAATTATAATAAATGAAATCGTGCCATATAAACTATATAAATCGCTTACGAAGACAGCCTAACGCTGGCCGTTTGATCATATGTTCGTACATAACTCTGTATACCTCTGGCCAAACTTTTGTAAAGGCAAGTGTTTTGTCGAGAAATCATTTGTTGGGAAATCGTGCTGTAACCAAATAAATCGCTAGTTTTTAAACAAGACGAATTTTTTTTTATAATGATATGAATTTGACTTTTTATTGTTCAATAATGTTTTCTTTTTTTAGTTCGAAATATTTTTTCTTCTCAAATGGTGACAACAATGAGTGTTTTTTTTGTTTAGTAGAAAGCAAATTTTGTGATAAAAAATCCGGTACAGAATATGGAGATGTAGTTTTTAGAATGGGATTACAAAATTATGAAAGATTGAAATAAAAGGTTTTTTTAGTAAAGGAATAAATGCAAAACAATTTAGTGAAAATGGATATTATGTTTGGGAGATTTACATCATCATATATAGTACGACCATTCTGACGTCTCAGTCGTCTCACATTGACAAATTTTTTTTATTTTAAATAAATGTATCATCTTACTTAAATAAATTTAATTATTTATAAATTTTCCGATTATTTATAAGAAATTTAACTATTATACAAAATTTGTATCAAAGTAAATAATTAATAAATAGTTCAAAAGAATCTGAAAAATATATTGTAATAAATATGTGAAATCTGTGTAGTTGCTATAGATTTGCAACTACTTCTCACTGGAATGGAAGCATTATTTAATTGTTTATTTCTAAACACTGATAGTTTAATTCCAATTCCCATTTATAATAATGAAAATGGAAGTTCCGTCGAGTTTGGTAAATTAAAAATATCCTTTAAAATTATTCACCGTTGAACAGTGACCGTTGCACTTCTCAGGGAATTTCTTAGTGATAAGAAAGATTCTAAAAATACTAGCGATATGATACTTTGGAGAATTAATGTCAAGAAAAAAGATATAAAAAGTGTTTCTACCCGAATAATACTGTACATTGTACAAAAACTCCATAGAAAAGAAATAAACCGTTTAAAAGGCTATTTTAAAGATGAATTAGATACTAAAAATTTTGTAGTATCTAACATCCACATTAGACACCGTTTCAAACCAATAGATGCTCGAAGTTATTTAGCTACAGATACCTTGTGGAACGCCTTACTGGGAGGGACCTGCTTTAACGCGAAAAAAAAAAGCAATCAGACCAAATTCGATGCAAATATCTAGTTCGAGAGGTAAAACATTGGAAGACACTTACCAGTGGCGGGATTATGGTGAAAAAAACTCTAACAAGTCTCTTATTTATTAGTGGTTCTAGTTCCTAACTGAAACGATGTTACTTCTATCTACAAGTGGATACAACAATTCAGACGTGGTAAAAACTGAGTATGTCTTTTAGCTTTGTTATCTTTTCAATTATGTGTTTCTTAGCTCCTCAGGCTAAAATTGAATTGAAACCTTTGGTAAAGACTTTGAACTTCATCAACGAAAAGACCCCATCGATACCCTCTGGAATGGTAGCAAACCGATATTTGGGATTAAGAGGCGATTTGAACATCGCAATGTGGATTACTTTCATTCAATCTCCGTCTTAGCCGGTGTACCTGGAACTGGAAAGAGCAGATTTCTTGATGAAATCGAAAGATTGCTCAGGCATTGTATCAATGAATCTGATGAGAAAATTTACCGCAGCGGCCTCATTTCAAAACTAATTTGTGACATTTTATTATGAAGAATGCGTAAACCACATGAGTATATAGTAAAGTAGTATGGTACGATATAATATAATATAATAAGTAAGGTATTATTAATTATGTACAGGTACGATGGGTACGATGCCAATCGTACCGAAATACCATAGGAATATGAATAACCTTTGAGTGGGTATGATTAGTTATATTATAGACGAAATTAATACTACAGTAATTTTATAAAAAAAAAATTCTAACTTTTTAATGGTAATTAAATTAAAAAAGAAGTTTAGTAAGATCGAAAGCATACCTGATACCGGTTAAAGTTTCATACCTAAAAAGCAATAAAGCACAATACCGTAACAAATACACAAGAACATACTACCGCCTAAACCACATATAATTTGTTACGCAATGACAATTATTGATTTATTTGGAGATCGTGTAGTGAGTCATTGCAATTTTAAACATAGGTGTAACTCGCACGTTACTTTATACACATATTTAAAATTGAAGTATTAGACCTTTATTACGCTTATTGTAATCATTTTTCCGTATATTATTTAAAAGTGCTAGGTGCCTAGGTCTTGATTTAGTCATGGTGCATGATGCAACTGCTGATATTGATATTTGATAAATTGCGCGATACGACCGATACGTCTCTGAGTTACTCATATTTTGAATAACTTTTTAAAAATTGTTACGCAACATACAATTGAAGGCCAGTCCTGCGGATCAGCCAAATACTCCTTTAATCAAATCAATCAATCAATCTGTCCAAATATAAAATCAGCGTATTCTTATAACCCACTGATTATTTTTTTTTTTATAAATAAACCACTTTTTGCACTTTTTTTTAACGACCTTATATTTTTTTTTTAACGACCTTATGTTTTTTTTAACGACCTTATATTTTTTTTACTTTTATAACGACCTTATATTTTTTTTTACTTTTATAACGAAGTTTTTTATATTTTAAATATCTTTCTTTTACTTTTATAATGACATTTTCTTTTATAACAAGGTCTCTTTTTTTTTACAACGAGGTCTCTTTTTTTTACAAGGTCTCTTTTTTTTACAACGAGGTCTCTTTTTTTATACCGAGGTATCTCTCTCGTACAAAAAGAGTTTGTTTTGCAGTTTTATTAGTAAAAACGCCCATTTCCTGACGATGTCTAGGTTTTACATCTGCGTAACGAGGTATCTCTCTCGTACAAAAGGAGTTTGTTTTGCAGTTTTATTAGTAAAAACGCCCATTTCCTGACGATGTCTAGGTTTTACATCTGGTCGTCACGCGTAATGAGGTACTCTCTC